ACACACTTGAGAAGGTTGCTCCGTGGAGCGCGATTTCAGGCTGCTTCGCGGTGTGCATTAGCCCTTTAGAGTTACTGCAGATTAGACCTTGACTGAAAAGAAAGTGCTGGGTCGGTCGAACAGAATTGTTGAAACATCGAATGAATGAATGAGTTAAAAATTATGCAGGTACAAGTGGTTGATCAGACCACTCATCCACCGAAATGCCACAGCTTCGTTGGACTGGATAGGCAAATCGGCTCCAGTCCCCCTGCTACTGTACAAGGTTTGAAAAGTCATAGGAATAGAAATAGCTAGAGTAGTGTCCTTGGAAACAGGAGTGGACACACACACAGATATATATATATATGTATATATATATATATTGTATATTATATATATTGTATATTATATATATTAGCAGAGAGATACATTTTTTTAATCTCTATTGGCTTCAAGTGAGAAGCCGGCTGAACTTTCTTTGAGTGCCAGTTGACAGCTTGCTGGATGCCGCAGCCGGGAGTGGAGAAGATGAGCGCCTTCTCATGCCTCCTCCGCAGCTTGGCCTGGGAAGGGTAGCTGGTAGCTATTACTGGCTTACTACTGATCGTGTGAATCTAATGAAGGTGAAAAAGAACAAACAATATATTTAGCCCTGCTTACACTAGCTAGTAGCGGTGCCATTCCTAGTAGCTTCTTGTTACTAATATAAATGCCAGGAGCTACTAGTAGCGTCCTCGCTACTAGTAGCGATGCCCTTGCTACTAGTAGCCCTTTGCAGAATTATATTTAGCCCGGGGCCCTGCCTTCCTTACTTAAGCAGGCGCCCACTTCATTAAGGGAGTAATTGGCTAGCTAGGACGCAGGATCACTGGCACTAATGATTTGGTTTCTATGGTCCATGTGTCCTTTGCAAGTCCGTATTCCAGTCTGATCCACACTTGCTGGCATGTTTGGTCCAATAGATGTGACAACAATGGCTTCAGATGTCGCTTCCAGGTAAGCAGGTTGCATTCCTACTCAGCTTCGGAGATGTAACAGGTTGTCGGCGTTCTAGCTGATCCGGTCCATGCCATTTGACGTTGGTGTTATGAGTTCTATTTCAATTTCATTTCGTGTATGCTTCTTAGTCACCTCTGTGGAGCGATCTCTTGTGTGTTTGGTATTGCTCGGCTAGGACCATGCTAGGACAAATCTCAACGCTCAGGTCCATCGTGCCAGACAAGAAGAAAGGCGAGCATGGGGGAACTTAAGTTTCCCTAAAAATCTAGCAACCAAATGAATAGTGTGAGCTATCCTGCATCCTAGGTAGTAGCCTTAAGCTACTAGCTACCTAGCTTCTAGTAGCTACCTATATAGCTAGTACCTCTTCTCGGCCTAATTGCCCCGGGCCTTTTAAGAACACATTCAAAGACAATCATCAATTCAGAGCGGTGCCAGGCGGTGAAACTGCCGGCCTGGGTGGCCTTGGTGGAGGACTCTTCAGCGTTCCTGAGCAAGACTAAGGAACAGGCATTTAACGGAACAATTCTTTTACAAAAAGGAACCGAACGAATCAAGGACAAAGGAACGGTCTAAAAGTGTTTCCCATAGTTACCAAAAAAAAGGAATCAAAGCAACGCGAAGGAAATTTCAAGGGCGTTGCGTCCTTGTCCAGTTCACATGTTTGCTTCTTTGAGTCAACAACTGAGGGAAGTGGTGGTGCTGCAAGCCTCTTTGGCACATCCTCTCTGTTTCGTGGCAGATCTAGTGACTAGTGAAAGCCAACTCGAGCTTGCGACATATTATATAATGGCAGGGAATGGCAGCCTGTAAACTTAGTTGCGCCCTTTAGAAACTTCTATACGAAGCAAAAGACTGGTCCTCAGGCTTGCGTTTCAACCTTCCCCGTAGTCCTTTATGTCAAAGTAACCCTTGAATTGCGAGACAGATGCTCCACTTGTTGTTGCTGCATTGCCCGCTTTCCTCTGAAGATTGAGATGTGTCTTTACCAACCAGCGGCTGCATGTTTGTTTACTTTATCTCAGAAATGCACCGATTCGTCATTGAGTCATTGAGGTTTGGCTCTTCCCCCTCTCTGTCATTTGACGCTGCAGGCAGCAAAGGCCTGGTTTAGCTTGCAATTTTCCCGGCACCACTGCTTTTCACTTTTGCCGCCAAAGTGTACAGATGCCACAGGAACTGAAACAACTGCATCCAGCTGCTTGGCCGAATCTTTGCCAGGACAGAATCCACCAGATCCTCAGTTTCAGAATGAACTCATCCGCCACTTAAGGTTCAACCAGCGCCCCTTTGGCCTCAGCACCCACAGATGTGAGAGAGGCTTCACCAGACAACTTGCCATGCCCTCCCTTCGGATTCCATGGATTGCCAGGCGTACAGAGAACGCATTGTCAAGATCTACGAGCAGCACAATCCCAGCAAAGTGACACTTATCGACAGACATGGTCCAACTTTAGAGGGATTTATTTCAGCACTCAGCCTCCAGTGTGTCTCCAAATGTGCAACATAATGTGTTCATCATTCCGGTGGCAATCCACTTTGAGGGCAAGAAAAACCTCACCTTTGCTAGGAATGAGATTGACGCTCTCATGGGCAAATACGTTGGTCAGGAGCACACTATGTACTTGAAAGTATGCAACGTGGCTGGCAATTGGAGGAAAATTCATTGCGGGCGCGAAACTGTACTTTGTTTTTTTACCATCTGTGAGGCAAAAAGTACAACGTCGAACCAGAACCTGAAATCAAAGCAGAATCATCTGCGGTCGCATCCAACGCTCCTGGTGCTGAAGCAAGCAGTGGAGGTGGGCTAATGCCTTGGCGGCTGCATTGAAACTCTTGCATTCAGTCCTTGCAGGTCAGTTTGGCCTTGGATCGTCACTTTTTGGTGCCACATCAGGCTGGTAACTATGAGGGTAGAGACTAGAGTGACCAGAGTGACTAGAGCTTGCTGATGATCTCAGGCGGTGATCTTTTTGCTTCTAGCACTGGGACCAGCGGCAGCAGCAGCAGTAGCAGCAGTGCATCACAGGGTTTGTTCGCTGCAAGCAGTGGAGGCGGAGGCAGCAGGGTGATTCATCCTTTACCTTTGTACTGAAGCTGCACTTCAAGTGAAGTGAGCAAGTGAGTTTTCTGAGTAGGTTTGTTTGGCGCGGCACCGGCATCAGCGCCTGCAGTGACGGATGTAAAGCAAGTGACACCCCGAGTCAGCTGTACGGTGTCAGAGTCCTTACAGCGACAAACTCCCACCAACTCGCCAGAAGCAGTCTTCCTGACCTGCCTTGAGGCTTACAAAGATCGCATGATAAAGATCTACCAGCAGCACAACCCTGGCAA